TATGCGAACGCTAGGCTTGAAGGATATATCTAACAACCAGACTGAGCCCTCGGAGGAGGTCCTTAACCGTGCAGCGACCATTATACAAGCCAGTTACCGCGGCTATCATGTACGACATGAGTTGCATAAACATGACGACGCTGAACACCATGTCCACCACAAGGAGGCCGTCGTGAGTCCGGAGCCCGATGAGGCGGCCAAGAAGATCCAGGCAGCGTTTCGAGGCTACCGAGTGCGAAAACAGTATAGGTCCCAGACTACGCCAATCTCACCAGTCTTCTTTGATCCTGAGGACGCCAAGTACATAGCGGCGGCCACGAAAATTCAAGCCAGTTATCGGGGTTATAGAACCCGGAAAACCAGCAATTTCCATCGATCTTCCGCAGCTTCAAAAAAGTAATGACAAGTTGTGTGTGAACCTTCTCTTTTCTTCCGATGACCAACATACCAACTTTAATATGATCATATTGGACAAAGAATAGGTGCACATTACCTTCTCCTGCTGTCCACATTCTTGTTTTGCCACGCTAATGCTTCTCAGATGCCCACCTTTAACGCCATTTTGTCTACTGACTTGTCATTTCATATCTTCACATTTCAAAAAAAAATCCTGCAAATACATCAAGAACTCGATTGTAGTTTTATAAACGCAATAGCAGAATTGATCTGACCCAGTCGTGAAAATGCCAGCGGCTTCGATGGGATTCAAATTCATGCCGGCGAGGGGAAAGACCTAAATACAACCAACGCTCTAGCTACAAGGCTATCAGAATTTTCTATTGATTCATGGAACTATTAATTCAAAAAAAGGTAAAACGTGTTCATACTTTCGAGTTTCGATCGACGACTTAATGCCAGCAGCATCTTAAGGGTGATAGTGTTGTCTGTATATAACTAGAGGCTTCCTTCGGAGGTATTTGGGTGGTTTGTCGCAAGTGGTTGCGTCGACAAGAAGTGTTCCCTTAAATCACAAGTCAGGTAAGGAACATATTTACTGCAAGAAGATGAACTGTACATCGGGTGTTCTCCACTATTCGTTTACCGAAGATCTCAAACAGTGAGAGCACTTGAAGGTCACTTAAGAACGGTCGAAGAAGTTCTTTTCCTGCATTTGAACGCGATTTCAAAGAGTTACTGACGTATACCACCCAGCATCTTTCTTCCTTCCATATTACCGTAACTTATTGTTCCATTAAATACAACGCATTATCCTGATTTATCAACTTTTCTAGCATTTCGCGTGGTTGACCTGAACAGAATAAAATATTTCGGTTCACGGGGTCCCGAACTGCATATATTACTATATTAAAATACCCGCATCCTAAGATATTAAATTAAGAAGAGAAGGGCTTCTTTGGGAAAGTTGAAACTTTAATGCGGAAATTTCTGAGACTGGTTTCCCGGCTCGACTTCAGACCTGAGAAAATGTGCAACAAATAATTAAATTTTAAACATGCAGAAAAATCAATAATCATGTGACGTGAGCACGGATTGGCAACTGTAGACCACGTTAGTCTGCGGCAGTAGGCGTTACATACATCTCGTCATCCCATCGTGATTGGTCAAGCGCGTTGAACCTTGGCCTTGAGAAATTTATAGCTGGCGTCCAAATCGATATGTCTGTTGATGCATACTTCATCTGAGTGCATTGATTTCAGGAATTCGCGGTCTTTTTAGTTGGATAAGTGCCAACAATCCGTGTGTTCTCCCATGCAAATTTGTGACCGCTTTCCAGTGTGTGCGTAGCCATTTGAGATAAATGGTATCGTCTTCTGACCACTAATTGATGTTCGTGTATGCGGGTTGAGGCGCATTTCCCAGTTTGGCCACAATAATCTGCATCACAACTGGCACACGGGTTCTTGTAGACGACACCTTTTCTTTCAAGGTAGCCAACCCTGTCAATAGAATTACCAAATGTGATCATAAGGTGGTTGCGTGCTGGTGTACCACTTGTATCTAATGTGTTCTTAGTTTTCTTCCGATAAGCTCAGACACGTTTCTACGTATGGGAGAGTTTTCGAGGTCGGTGTTTTCGATACCTAGGTGGCCGTATCTTTTGAAATGCCTTTTTCTTTGGATTCTTGAGGTTTTACACATTGACGCACGAAATTTCGTAGATGCCCATTTTTGGAGTTTAGCTGAAGGAGGTGTTTCATTTCTGCTTTCTAACTTTTGTCTTCAGAGCAGTGTGTTTTATATGTATTGGCGGATGTATGTTCACCAGACGTTGCGGGATTCATCTGTAC